TCCCCTGAGAGTGGCGCAGGGCGGCGCGGGGCGAGCCCGAATCCGGGATGTTTGCCCTCCGGCTGGGCGCTCGGCTGCGGGCGCAGGAACTGGGCGCAGCATGCTCGCCGCCGTCAGGAGCCTCCTGCGCCTCCGCCTGGGGCGCGTCCCCCACTGCCCCCCGGGAGCGCCTCCAGAAGCCGAGCGACGGCCCGTCGCGTCTATCCGGCCCAGAGGTCTCCGGCAGTACTCCAGCGGCGGGGCTCCCAGCAGCTCGGGGCCCCAAGGTTCCGGTGAGCCGGGGCTGGGAATGGCCTGGGACGGGGGTCCGTGGAGGTGCGGGCGAGGAGCCGGGGCCGGCGGGTCGAGGTGTGAGCGCGCCCTGATTCATTGTATGGTTCGTCTGTCGGTTCCTCCGTCCATCCCTGTCGCTTTCGCAGCAGGAAAGATCCACAGGGTTCCCGCCGAGCACACGCCGTCGCAGTTTGACAAGAAAATCCTGCTGTGGACTGGGCGTTTCAAAGCGATGGAGGAGATCCCGCCTCGGGTTCCGTAAGTGTGGCTTGTACTGGGTTTCGTGCGCCCGGGAGGGACCGGCTTGGGCATGGAGGGCGCGGGGTCCATCTCCGTGCCTCCTTGAGCGAAGGCAGCCGCAGAGCCACACAGGTCTTGACTGTATCATCCACCACCTGAAGGAATTTACTTACGCACCCCTAGTGCGGTTAAAAATCAAGCTATTTGACTGGGTGGTGAGAGCTAAACTAAGCTTACAGGGAGACTGTTGAAGCTGGCTGAAGGCCCAGAAGTTCGGTGGGCACTTCCACCATCGCCCAGATACCCACCCCCAGCGAGCTGCGGGGCAATGGAACAATCAAGCCAAATCGAAGGCGCAGCATGGCCTCCGCGTGCACCGTGGGTTGGGGGTGCCTCATGGCTAGTAGGGTGGCTGGAGAGTCTCTGGGAAGGAGCCACATGCACTTGACGTGGTCTTCTGGGGCAGGAGGTGCTTAGTGTCCACGGTTCTGCAGCCCTTTGAGCATCAGATTTACTCCGATTAGGACCCACCAAGTATCAGCATCGCTGATCTCTGAACCATACCAAACCCATGATAGAGGTTCGCTTGATAAAACTCAAGCTGACGATTTCACCTCCAGGGTAAACGTAATATGTTAAAAAGAAAAAGAAAAAAAAAAGGAAGAAAGAAAATGTAACCCGTAAAAACCGCTTTCCAGTTTCAATTTATGCAAAGCCCAAAAAACTTCCCAGCACTTTACAAGGGAGTGGATAAAAAGGGCAGGAAGGAAAGTAAAAATTAAATTAATCTACTACTTTTTAAACTGATCTTAACAAAAAAATAAGGAGATTAGAACTATGATATCAAATAAGGATGTTCAAGTTTTATAGGCGGTAATCAGTGCCCGTTAGAATGGACCATGGAAACTGGGCCTGCAACTTGTTCTGCACATATCGCCCACACTTTTATTTATATTTAATTTAGTTGTTACCAAAAGCATCACAAATAAATGGAAATACAGATATGATGGGAAATGTTCACCCAATAATGAATTCTCAAACATTTTTATCCCTTTCTTGGATCAAATTATTTAGTGAAAAACGGACACGAAATTTGAAATAATATGGATCTTGAAACCTGTCTTCAGCATTTATTCAACCACAAAGATTTTTTTAATAATATAAAGCAAATTTTGTTTTTCTTGAGATGTATAGCCTCTAAACTAACAGACTTAGCCCAAAGCAGAAATTAGCCCAGAAAATCTAGACCACCCTCAGTGTTTTTGGATTTTGAGTTCTTGAGCTGCAGCAGAGTAAACAAGAATGCAAAAAAACCTGCATTATCATAAATTAACACTTGTCAAGAGATGCTAGGCCTATTACTGTGTTAACATAGCTGTGTCTGTGAAGAGACCCATTTTACAGAAATAATTTAATTCCCCCAGGATCACAGTCAAAAGAGGAATTATAAACAGGAGAATTTAACTTTGAACAATATGCCTATGAAAGGTATTATAGTTTAAGGTTTGAAACATGAAAGTATTTGAATATTTTTCAGTTTATTATTTTCTATAATTTTTAAAATACTGCAATTTAGGAGGGCTATGGCTCCTAAGCTAACTGTTAGATTTACAGTGTAAACAGCTTCACTTTTTATGTTCTTAATGGACATATAATTAACGACTGACCTATAATTTTTGTACTGTACACTAATGATATTTAATAATAAGTGTATTTTTTCTTTTGTTTTTTTCAGTGTTAAACTAATTTGGTATAGTAGATCAAAGCCAGATAGATGGGTGAAAAAGATCAGATCTTTTAGGTTCCATCTGGAGCAAAAGTCAACAAATATAATCTAATAATGTCCTCATATTTACCTGTTTGCAACTAACATCTTAAAACTTTCATTAATCTGTCTAAAATCTGAGGGAAACAGGCTAGATATTGGTTTTCTGTGTTCTTTCAACTAGTGGAAAAGTTAAAGAAAATTTTCTTCATTTTTAAAAGGAATTGCAACTTGTCTTTCTGGAATTCTTTATAAAATTCCATTCTATTCAAACTTGAAATTAGGTAAGAAAGACTGCTGCTGAGTGCATTCTCAAAAATCATTAATATAAACTGCCACTTCATATTACTGTACGTTGTTAAAGTTCAACAAAAAAGGCCCACAGGTGTGATTACTTTTGTAACACTACTCTTTGTTAGTAGTACCACTAAAATCTGGACAACTTGCATATAACTTTATTAATAAATTCTATAAGACTACACAGTATTCAAATAAGCATAGAAAATTTCAGAATAATAAGAAAACAAAGGTATTTTTCTTCAATAAATTATCGTGATTTTGATCATTTCTTCTGAAAACTTCATGCATAAGTCATGAAGGAAACCCCCTTTCTCTAACAGACATTCTCACAAAATGTGTAATATATAACAGTAGTGTAATAAGAGCCATCTTCACAAATCTCTGTAATAGAGGTAAGATGTGAGGGGGCAAGAAGATACTGGGAAGCTAGTGAGAAAACAAAATGATGAAAATGAGTTTTAAAAAACAACCTGTTTGAAAACAAAGCCCATTTAATGACACAGGGGCCAAATGAACACAATTCATAGACATACATGGACATGCATTCTTTCTTTTATCCCAGTCAGTAAAAAGAGTCAAGTCATAATATGTATTCATTATATTTTGAGCAATTAGAACCTAAATATACTGCACCGTGGTTTCTTGGTGGCCAACTTTAGCTAGGATCTGCATAAATACTGTTCAATTGAAATTGGTAAAATAATGGGCTAGCATTTGGAAGTCTTTCACATCTGCCGTTTGCATTCAGGGAAATTTTTGGAATATTTACATAACAAATCATGTAATGTAATTTACTTTAATGTAATTAACAGAATATACATCTTGGTTTAGGCCAGAAATGATAGATGCTGCAAGAAACAAAGCTCGAGTGAAAGCTTGTTACATAATGATTGGACTCACGATTATCGCCTGCTTTGCAGTGATAGCGTCAGGCAAAAGGGTGAGTACCTCTAAAATAAAGATAGACTTGTGAATTCGAAGAAAGATTATGAGCTTTGTTCTCCTTTACGGAATGATTGCTGTTCTTTCAATTTTATCTTAGACACCTTGAGCCACCCACATGTATCTGACATACTGGAAATAAATTTGTTCATGGAAATTGGAGTCAACAAATTACATAGGTAGGAGGGTCAGAAGCTTGCTTCCATTTATAAGATAAGCAAAAACAAAAACAGGACAGTTTATAGCCTGGTTATAAATCTGCACAGGAAGAACTTTGTTGTATGAACAGTATCCAAACTAGATCATTCCTTAAATCATGAACTCAATTAGCTTTTGCATAGAGTCGTGAAATAGAAGTTCAAAAGCTGGAAGTGATGACCAAGGCAGACTAGTTTGCCTGAATCCTGTATATGAGCCCTTTCCTTGCTATCTCTAATATGTGGATCCTAGAGGGAAATTAAGAGAGCATTGCTCTCTAATTTTGTTTCTTGCTACCCTTAATCTTTTCATCTGCTGATCACTTTTTACCATGAAAAGCTGCCCCATGAGTATCAGGAGTCTTCCCTTCTCCAGTCCTACTTTCTCCATCCCTGACAGCTTTCCTCTTTTGAACTTGCGTCTGGACACACTCCAGGATATCAGTGTGCTTCATCGTGGCACCTGCAACTGAACCCTTTAGAGCGTGATTAAAACTTCTTCATGTTTATAAGCGCATTTTAGTAATGCAGCCAGAGTTGGAACTAGGCTTTGGCAGCCACATCACACAGAATAGTTTGCTTGGATCGATACCTCTTTGCTCTCTGGGCATGCTTAGCCAACTGCCATTCTGCCCAGTCCTAGGATTCAGCTCTTCTCTACTTCGCAGGTTTCCAAGAGTGTTTGAGCCCAGTACTTTACAGCTTTCTGATGTTATGTACGTGTCTGTTCATTTCTGTTGGCTTGGCAAAGAACTTATGCTTTGAAATTATTCTCATCAAATGGAAAATTTCTTAAATATTTGCTGGATTGAACATTTAAACATTGAAATGAAGAAAGTCAGTCTCTTGTTTTTAACCTACGCTAGATAAGATGGCTGCCCACCCAGTTGATGATTCTTTAGCTCCTGAAAGACAGGTTGGAACCTGATACCGTCTGGACCCTCCATGTTTCATACCATCATCCCTTTCTTCCTTATGCTTCATCCACACTAGTTATTTTTATTTTTACTTTTTAATACGCCCAACTCCTTCTTCTCTCTAGGCTTTCCTTCCTTCCCCTGGCCTTATCATATATGACTTATTCTCATTCTCCTCAGAAAGCTTCCCTGACCACCCCACCTAAAATGACCTCGCTCAGGTTTTATTATCTTTCCAGCTGCTCATGAGTAAGTCATTGTACATCAGCAGGAATCCTTTCGGCTCCACCTTAAAATATATCCACAGCTGGGCCCCTCCTCACCATCTCTGCTGATGTCACCCTGGTCTGGGATAACCAACATCTTTGCCTAGTTTATTGCAATATCTTTTAAATGGTCTCACTTCTGTCCCTCTTGCCTCTCCAGTTCACCTTTCATTTTGAGTATTTAATGCATGTACCTTAACTAAGAAGGTGTCAGATGAAGATGGAGAAATGGTTAGCAAATTGAGATATATTTCAGAAAGTAAAAAGGATAGAACTTTGTGGTAAATTCAGTGTGGAAAGAGAAGAGAAAATGGAAGAATGAAACCAGAAAGCCTGTTTTTTGACTTGAGCACCTGGATGGATGGTGCTGTGATTTGTTGAGATGTGTCAGCTGGGGAAGGAACTGGTAGGCATGGCAGGCATAATATATCAAGCCCTATATTTTGGATGTATTAAGTGTGAGATGCATATTAGACATCCATCGATGTCTATTCAATTTTTATTTATTCTGCCGAGGACTTTGTATGTTCTTTGGTCTGACGACCCATAGCTTTCCTTACTTCTGAAAAAGTCTAAGCTGTTACAACTCCACATGTGGCCTCTTCCCCCGTTCTAACTCTTCTTCCCACCTCTTTGGAAGGTATGTTGGAACTTCTGGTTCTATTCTCCATGTCTCTTAACTTCTCTTTTCTATTTTTTGTCTGTTTATCTCTGTGCCACACTTAAGTTATTTCCTTAGATCTACCTCCTGATTATGATGCTAATTGTCTTTTCTTTTCACAGGTGATTTTACCCCCCAGATAAATGCCTAGTTTCCTTGCCAGTTCCTTGGGCTGGTGAAAGGAGTTTTAGTCATTTCACAGGAATACCTCAGCTCCATGCTGAAGATCCAAATACTGAACTTGCCTGTTGGTGTAGAAATTAAACTCTCGGCCCACAGCTGTTAAGGCCAATATTTTTTCCCTAATGCCTCTGTTTGAAGCCATTTCCTTTAATCCTGGCTTTAGTCCTCATTCCTCACCAATTCATGCCTTTTGCATCCTTTCTATGTCTTGGAACTGAGGACTTCCCTCCCTTGATTTTGAGCTTAATTTGGTATTTGAACATATACTTGTTACTTTTTATCCAGCAAATATGTCTGTGTGTGCCAAGAGAGGCTGGGGACAGATTTCTGACATCAGCTGTCCTGTTGACTAGAAGTCTAGAAACTTAAGTAAATTTTTTTTTGTACCAAAGGATCATTTTTCTTAAATGATTTGTGTGACATGTTTTATATTCCTTTTCTCCTTTTCATAGAGTCTCTCCTGTGTATCGCTATCTAAAACACAGATCCTTTCCAGAGAGTCAAAAGTTCTGTTTGCTTGTTTGTTTGTTTCTGCAGGCTGCAGAACGACATGAATCCTTAACAAGTTGGAACCTGGCAAAGAAAGCTAAGTGGCGAGAAGAAGCTGCATTGGCTGCACAGGCCAAAGCGAAATGATCCTCTGACTGGCAGAGTGTTCCTGGAATGTCATCACTATTCTCAGCAAACATAAAAGATAGGTAAAATAGGATAGTTAAGAAAATGTTTGCCGATGTTTTATTTTAGTGACAAGAACCACAGTCTTTTTTATTTTTACTTTTTAGTAAACTTTTGTTGTTGCATAACATACATTCAGAGAGTGCACAAAAGTGTATGCAGCTTGATAGATTTTTACGTAGTGAACACACCTGCATAACCGCGTCCAAGGCCGAGATGTAGAACATCAGCAGCCCCTCAGAAGCCTCCTTCCTGCCCTCTGTCAGTCATGACCCTCCAGAGGTAACCACTGTTGTGAGTTTTATCAGTATAGATTAATCTTGCCTGTTTTTGAACTTTATGTAAATGGAATTACACAGTATGCACTTGTGGATTCTTATACTCAACATTATATTGTGAGATTCACCCACAAATTTTTTGAGTTCATTCATTATTATTATGTTATAATAATCCAGTGTATAAATATGCCACAACTTATCTGAATATTTAGTCCAGTTTTTGGCCATCAGAGATAATGTTAAAACGAACGCTCTGTGCATGTCATTATATGTTGAATTAAATCACTAAGGGCTCTTTCAAACCTAAATGAGTTTTCAACCAAAGTTCTACTGTATTTGGTGACTGGATAGGCCCTCTGGGTATTCTTTTTTCCCAGTGAGCTTTTATCCTAGTTTGCAACTAGGTGAAACAAGTTTACAAAGTCTTATAAACCAAGAACTATTCATTTCAAAACCTATTCTAAAATGATGAAAGTACTGAAACAGTTATTGTAAAAGCAATTTAAAAAAGACAAAAACATTAGAGAAAGAAAAATAGTATGTGTCAGTGGTCTTCAAACTTGAATAAGCCATAAGACAGCTTTTAAAATTATCTCTTCTCACACATCTTTAATTTGGTGTCTGTAATTTTAAAATCATAAACATGAGTAGTTCAAGTGATATCATTTCCAGTTTATTGTATATTAAATGTACTTTAAATATAGTTTCCTTTATAACCTTGAAGCTACATAGTTAGCTCATCCAATTTATGGAGGATGTCTGCTTTGTAACTTTAAGGACAAAGCCAGTCCTCGCTGTCAAACTCATAAGCCAAATAAAACTTGGACTTACTTTCTGTTAGGAAAAGTCTTACTTTGATTTAAAAATGAAAATGTGAGTACACATTCCTGTGACACTAATCTCGCTTCTTAGTTCAACTCTGAGATGGATGGAGAAGGCAGGAAGCCTTATGAGTTCACCCTCTAGACAAACCAGGGCGTTACCAGCTGGAGCATTTTGCACAATGGCGCTCTCTCCTCTGACCCTCTGGAACTCTTTCTTTAGCAGCTGTCCACTTGAATTACCAGTTTGTCATGCAGGTGTTTGCACCACTGAGCAAAGCTTAAATAAGAGTCATAATGAGTGAGAAGTGCTTTTGGGGTGTAATAGTACAAAGTTGATTGTGAGGAGAGGTGAGAAAGGAGAAATGGCAGACTTGGACAGATCAGTTTTAGGAAAGAGTATATAGAGTTTAAAGATCTGGAAATCAGTTCTCTTAAAAATATATTACTCTGTATACTTTGAAAGTCTTTTTGTATGCTCTGCTTGAAGACTCCTGGGATATTCTAAATATTATAGAAAACTTCAAAGAAAATGTTTGTAAGCATGGATGTGATGATTTCCATTTCCAGTTAGATTGAAGACCAGATGTCCAAAGAAATCATCCAGTATTGAACTAAAAATCCTGGTTAAAATATTTTTAAAGTATCTTTTAAAACACTTGGCTCAACTCCCAGGGAAAGAAGGAAGATCCTTACTACAGACAGTAAGAAAGTAAAAATGCAGAGTTAAGTGTATCTTATGCTGCTATTTGCCATAGGGGCATCTGGGTATCCTAGGTGGTCATATGTTAGGGAGAATAAACAAAAACATGAGGCCTAGTGAAACTGAGAGGATGGACATCCACATGAAGCCAGAATCCAAGAAGCTTATATTGTCAGTGGACTGAACTGGGATTTGGTGGTAATTATGAGGTGCCTGTTATGCTGCTTACAATGGCAAAGACTGAAAACAGTTTAAATATCCATCAACAGGGGATTAATTGAATAAATGATGGTGTGTCCCCATAATGGAGTACTCTGCAGGTACAGTAAGGAATGAAGAGTGCTACATTCTGTTACAAAATGAGCCACAAAACATAGCTGAGTGAATAAAAACATATTGGAGAAAAACATATGTAATGTATACTATTGTTTCCAATTGAGGGAGGGGATATGTAAATGTACTTTTTATATTAAAAATAATGGACGAATAAACCCCAGAAAAGGAGGGTAGGAAATATGTTGGAGGGGACAGTGATAGAAACTAAATCTTCTGAATATATCCTGTTTTACATATTTGACTTTAGAACAGTATGTCTTAAATAATTATAAAAACATTAAATTATTTTTTAAAAGGCAGTCAACTTTTGAAAAGCAAGATTAAACAAACATGTGTCAGCTTGGTGCATGGAGAATAACTATTTCAAGTGATTTTAAAATATCTCTAGTGGGATATACCTGACCTTTAAAAAGAAGTCCCCTCCCCTATCCTGAGAACAAACCCCTATTTTCAGTAAGTATATTGTTAACAGTAACATGTGTATAGATGAGACAACAGTCACATATACTGATATAGCAGTTCGGTCATTAAAAATACATTTTTCTTAATTCTGTCCATTGAAAAGGCCTCAATAGCAATGACCAAACCAGTAGTGATAGGTGCTTACAGCACACATCTTGATTTCTAAACACCGTTTCATTCAGAAACCAGGGCTCTGTGGAGAAATGGCTGATCCCAGACCTGGGGTAGGAAATATAAAACATGATCCTGAAGCATCTGGCTGTCTTAGAAAATAAAGGAGCTAGTAAAACTATATGGCTATGTCCAGAGGATAAGAATAAGAGAAGCAATCTTCCATCGGAAGGTCTAAAATTCAAGAAGGAATGAATGAAAAAGAAAAAAAAAAGTAAGAACTGTTAAGTCAAAATAAATATTGGCTATAAATTCTAAAAATATCTAAATTTGGGGTCAGAAAAAATAGCATGTAAGTTGTAAAGGAGTAAGATTTTTGCATTCATTGAGAGGAAAGTAAAGATATTGGTTAACTTAAGGTTTTGTTAGGTTAAATATGTATGTTAAAATTCCTAGGGTAACAAACATACGAACTTTCAAACAAGTAGAGATTTTTAAAAAATAGAAAGATAAATGAAATTAGTTCAAAAGACAAAGGAAGGGAGGGAAAAGAGAGAATAGAAAAAATGAGAAATAAGACAAAATAACATGGTCGAAATGAATCCAAATACATCAGTGGTCAGAGTAAATAAACCAAACTCTGGTAAGTAAAGACAGTGCTGAAAATAAAATGATGAGGAAAAGATATAGCAGACAATTTTTAACCGAAATATTGCTATAGTGGCTATGTTGACACCAGACAAAAAAAACTTTAAGAGAAAATGAATCATAAAGAGGGTTACAACATATTGGTAAAAGAAAGATTCAGTTCATCAAAAGATACCATTCTCTTGGTACAATGGTGTCCAGCTGCAAGATTGGTCTGTCCACCCTTAACAGCAATCTGGCACATTTGGGTTCAAGAGCTCCTGGATGCTGGACTCCGTGGCCGATTTCCGCACTTACATATGTTTTGTTCCCAACATCAGCTTTGGTCATCCTGTTGTCGAAATCCTCCACAAGCAGCTTGGCTTGGACATGCACATGAAATGTCCAGGCTGGAATAGGGTAAAGCAAATGCCTATCAAGAACCAATCAATATACCTTTAATCTGGAGTGGACACCGTCCATAACTGTACAAAGTCGAGAGGTAACATGATTATGTCTGGCAGTGCCGTTATGAGTGAAGATATTGCATCTGTGACCATGTTAAAAACTGTTAGCTCAGAGGCTATTCAGAAACATTCTCTTGATCAGTGAAACCTCCAAAAGCTGAGTGTTTGCTCATGAACTCTTTTAACTGGAAAACAAGAATGTTGACTACCAAATCATACTGGAATTGAGGCAGTCCCGCTTTTCTGAGCAGTTATTTGTTCCAGTGACTAAAATCTGTTCTGAGAGGTTAGAAATTGATATGTATGTTTTAACTAAGTTTTTAGTGATGAAATTTAAAGATTAGTGTGATGAATACTCTGCTTTTGCTTGGTGACTTGATGAAGAGTGAATAAACGGCTTTGTTACTAATTTTATACAAATTATGTCTTAATGACTTAAGAGAGGCATATTAGTCACTATTAGAAAATTATTTTTAGTGCTTTTCCAAGAAGACTGTTGTGTTTCAGATGTTTTCTAAAAGCTAAGGAAGTTGTTTTTCCTCTTTTGGTGTCATTTGTGATTTGTCTATTAGCTTGATAATGATTAGAATGGAACATATGATGAAGAAGTAAACTTGGACCTGGCTGGGATAGGATACCATATCTTTCAAAAACATCTATATTTCACTCTAATCTTACACTTCATGCATCAAAATTATTTTTTAAATGTATGAAGTCCAGGGTATTTCAGGTGGTCTGTAGTCTATTTTATAATATAAGCATAGATTTACCTGTCTACTGTGCTGGAGGGATAGGTTATTCAGTGATTTTTTTTTTTCCCTTTCAGTAACACATCTGCCATCCTTAAGGACATCAAACAATGCCATTGCCATAGTTTACAAAGGAAACATTAAAGTCTCTCTTTGGAAGCAATATACAGTTGAATACTGACTCTGCCTTTTCTAGCCATTTGAGTGAAGCAAATCACTCAAAGTCTAAGCTTCTATTTATTTATTTATAAACTAAATGTAATTACAACCACTTTGCAGGGTTGTGCTCCTCAGCTATTAAAAGAGATACCATATATGTAAAGCAGCCAGTGAATTTAAAAATTTATGTACGAGATTATAACATCAGACATAACAGACAGATTTGAGTTCACTTGCTTGGACAACTTGTGCTTGACCAGCTTTTGTTTTCTTTTTCATTAAAAATAAATGTACAGTGAAAGTAAAGTAGTGCTTGCTTCGGCAGCACATATACTAAAATCCTACAAAATGGAGATTATGGCCCCCGTGCAAGGGTGATATGCAGATTCCTGAAGCATTCCATATTTTTTCATCACAAGGAAATAAACTATTTTTTCTTTTTCTTTTTGTATCCTGAGATAATGGATGTTAATTAAACTTACTGTGGTAATCATTTCACAGTATATGTAAGGCAAATCATTATGCCATACATCTTAAACATAAACACAAGTGACTAGCACTTGTCTATGGGTGAGAAATTAGTTACTTCTGTGGTTCAACAAGAAAAGAAAAATATTTACCTTGCCTATTTCATAAACAGCATACAAGATTAATACATGAAGTAAATGTTCTTATTCTGAAATTGAGGCCACAGGAGTAGGGGATTGAGAACAAGGCTTTTTTGTTGTTATTGTGAATCCTTTTTTCCCTTAAGTTACATCATTTTATTAATCAATCTATTCCATGTCACCTTTTTTTTTTAACATAGTAAATCCTAGATAAAAGGTTTCATACTCTTCCATTCCATCTACCGTCTGTCTCTTTGGATGGTGGCCATACTTTGGTGTACCTGTACAGAGGATTTCACCATGGAAACCCTGCTTGACCTTTCATTCTGATTATATTTTTCATCTTGACATAAGGCTGCTGTAACTTCAGCCTTTAGGTCGTTTCACCACAAACACTAAAAGGGAAAACATTTTCAAGTAAGTTTCAACTAATTTGTTTTATTTAAATTCACTTATCATGTAACCTGAAAAATATCAATTTTGTAATAATTATTTTTCTATTATTTTAGCACATATACAGATTCTCATCTGAATGTGAAAAAATGATACACTAATCCTAAATTTTTATGTACAAAATAATGTAGTATCTAAATACATTTTGAAAATGCCAGAACTCCTAGGAAAAAATGAACAAACCTACCATCATCTTGGGAAATTTTAACACACCTCTCTTAGACACTGACAAATTAAGCTAACTAGTAAAGATATTAAATATGTGAATCAATAATACACATTCTTTTCTAGCATGCAAGGAACATTTCACTAAAACTGAGCACATACTAACCATAAAGCACATTTCATCAACTTTCAAACTACATGTAATTTCATCACAACTTAGAAATTAATGGTATTTTTTTAAAGTTTAAAGATTTAAAAACACATTATTAAATGACTCTTTGGTCAAAGAGTAAATCATAATGGGAGTTTAAAAATGCTTAGAGCTGAATAAGAAAAAGTTATATATCAAAACTTGTGGAATGCAGCTAAAGTGGTATTTAAAAGTAAAATGTTACCGTCACAAAATGTTTTTCTTAGAAAAGAAAGGTTTAAAATGAATGTGTTAAACATCTCTAAGAAATTAGAAAAAATAAAATAAATCCAAAGTCAATAAAATACTGGAAATTATAAAATTAAGAGCAGAAATTAATGAAGTAAATGCAAACATAGAATGTAGAGGATCAGTATAACCAAATTTGGCAAGTTCATCAAGATAAAAAAAAGTGTAAGAAAACAATATTAGAAATGATAAAAGGGATGAAGCCAAAAGAACATTATAAATTGGTATGTCATCTTTTAGTTGGCCAAAGTGGAATCATAGGGACAAGATTCACTCTTCTGCTTGAAAAAACTAAAAAATCAGACAAAAATATGAACTGACAGTATCCAGACACTTGACATCAGGCACAGAACAGTCTTCTATGAAACAGAGGAAATAAATTAGTTGGGCCGTATTGTTGCTCCACTTTACTGCCTAGAAAGTTTCAAGAGGGCAGGGCGTAGAAGGGAAACTCGTGTGGAACCTAGAAGTCACTGAGTTGAGGAGAAAGAGTTGGGAGTCCAGGGAAGATACAACAACCAGATTTTACCCAGTATCAAGGTGATAGAGCTGCACAGATAGCTCGAGATCTTCAGCTGAATATTGATGATCACACATGACTACGTCTCCAGACCATGAAAAGAACCCCCTGAAAGAAGGATGAGAAACAAATTTTGGAGCTCACACATAGCCAAGAATAGTTTGAATCCCAACAAAGTGGAAACCCTTCTATTTGACAGAGTAGCAGAACACTAAGAATGGTACCACTTCAGCAGTGTTCTGTGCCTGCCTTACAAAGTTTAAAAGTGAGTCTTTATGCAAAGGTCAAATTGTCTTCCAAGTAACTTAATTT